CGCATAGCTATTGTTGGGTCTTTCGAGGTGTGGGAAAATTGAGAAGACGAGGGGGGAATGATGGGAATGACGGGAAGGGTGACGAAGTTGATCCAGGTTTAAACAAGTTAAGCTTCCCAAAAAATCTAGGAACCAAATGAATAGTGCGAGCGCTTCTTCAAGGAAATCTGAGCAATCCTGCATCCAGTCGCTAGTAGCTACTTAAGCTACTAGCTACCATTCTATACTTCTACTAGCTACGCGTCTTCTACTAGCGGCCTACCCCCCACCCCTCTGAAAAAAGGGTCACTACCCACCTCGAGAAGGTACGTGGCTTCTGCAACTCGATCCTCGACGCGTTTGGCCAGCTCCACCGCCTGAGGTCCACACCAATTGGAGGCACAACCTTTGTTAACTACCTGTAACAAGTAACAAGGGTATCGCTACTAGTAGCTTCTTGCTACTAGTAGTAAGAATGCTCCTAGTAGCGATGCCAGGAGCCCCTAGTAGCGTCCTTGCTCCTAGCATTAAGGCCAGGAGCCCCTAGTAGCTTCTTGTTACTAGGTTGCTAAAGCAAACAAACAGGACTGGCCAAGGTGAGCCTGGAACCGCATGCCTCTAAGAACTATGTATAGCCTGGTCAAATGTTTGATGAGTATTCAGAGAGTCCGTGGAAAGTTCCGGGGTCTCACATGGTCCAATGCCAACATTCAATGGCCCGTCGAGTCCACTCTTGAATCTTGGTAGGGAGAGGGGAGCTTAAAAACACAAAAAGAATAAAACATATTTTGAGGCTTTCGACCCCCCATCGATTGTTTTCTCAGGGTTGGTGGCCCCCTCGACAGTTTTGTCTAGACATCTGAAAGGATTCGTGCAAGGGCATTGCTACAATTTTACCAAGGCAGCTTCTGTATTGAACACTTGAACGTCACCAGTCACAAAGCTGTTCCCTGGAAACCCATAAGAGGCAAGCAAGCTTGCATCTTGAGATTGGTACCATATCTCCAACATTTTGTCTATTGCTGGCTAATCGTTCTGATTGCCAGCCTCGCGCAAGGAAGCAAGAGCCTGTCCAGATGTTTGCGCAGAAAATGCAAGCTGCTCTGCCTGCTGTTACTCTTTAGCTCTTGAACTGCAACAAGGCTAAAAGCACCACCATCACATGAAATGCAACGTCGAAAAGTTGTTTGTACATGAGTGCATTCAATGACTGATTTCTCCCGGGCTATGAATACGTCATCCATGAAACCAACTTCCAGCTCTCATGGCACACGCACTCACACCTTCCACTCTCGCCTCGGCGCGTTTGCACATGGAGTTCTCCGCCTTCGCTTTCACACGCAAGGCCTCTGCCTCGCCCCGCAGATCTTTGATCGCCTCGGTGGAGGCCATCGGTCCTATCGGTCCTATCGGTCGCCGGCTCTGGGCGACGGGAGTCTGTTGAGTCTGAAGGAATCAGTCTCGATCCTTTCAAGTGGTTTTTGTTGAGCTGGAAACCACTCTTGACTTCCAAAGTGCACGCAAGAGACCCTACAGCCAATGACAGTGATCGTAGGACAACTGTTTGGTGGTCTTGGCGCCATTGACGTCGATACAAGATGATACGAGTATGGGAGTGGTGGACTGGTAGACCCAGCCCGACAATTCCATCCTGCCAAGACGCATGGTATCTCTCACGAGCTTCCTTCACATGACCGAGCGCTTCCTTCTGCTCGTCGTTCTCGACATTTGCCTTCTTCAAGAGCATGTATGGGAAGAAGTGAAGTGTTGCGTCAGGTTCGATCTCTGTCTAGGAAATGCTTGTTCAAGCTTGATCTTTCTCAATGATCCACAAACTACCCGAAGCGATACCGGAGCAGCCTGCAGCACAGGCTTATTTGTATCCGAGAATTGACGAGGTCTTGCCTCTGCCAACAACACCAAAGTGTTGGCCGCTGCTTGAGAATCACCCAGACGTTTGCAAAGTCCTTGTGCCTCCTGCCAACTGGATGCAAAGTCATCTGCATATTTCTTCTGCTCTTTCAATGTCTGTTCTGGACTCCATCTGAACACTGGTGCGATGTGCGCCCGTCCTTGGCACTCCGCAAGGCATCCAAGGGGCGCTCTCGCACTAAGTGGATGGATGCGACAGTGAGCATCGAAGCAACCTCTCAGGGGTCAAATAAGTCTTTCTCTATTGCAAGGGCCAAGGCCTGCAACTTCTGAGTCGCTCAAAGTGTCAGTGGTTGCCGATTTGATTGGTGGACTTCCATGCTGTCTACGTTCTGTCAACGTCAAAAGCGATGATCCAGGAGAGCTCATGTTGATCAAGAGTATCATAGATATTCATAGCGTATCTGTGGATTGCCCTTTCTTAACCGACAAAGAAAACAAAGCCCAACCGTCCCTGCGGCGCAAAGCGCGCCTGCTGCTTGTAATCTGATGACTGCCTGAAGATGGTGAGCGACTTTCTGGCCTTCAGAACTGCGCAGAACGTGGATGTTCCGTTCGACGGAGAAAATCCGTTCAACTGATTTCAACGGCATTTCAACGCAAGCCAAGGCATGATTTCCACGTTCCATGCCTTCCAAGTCTCAAAAGACTTTGGGAATATTGTGTTTCCCTGGCATCTGGCCCAATGGACGTTCATCCTTTTACCGCAACTGCTGAGCCATGCTGAGCGATCGACCGCATCAATCGCCTCTTTGATCTCCTGGCCTTGACATAATGCCTCAGAGAGCCACAGGATAGATTTCGATACAGGCGCTTCCATCGACAGCATCAAGACATGTCAAGACCCTGCTTTCTTGCAAGTCCAGAACAAAGATGAAAAAAGACAGCAGGGTTGGTGGATGGAAAGGGCCTGATCAGCAAGAAAGTTCTGGCCAAAAATAAGAGATAGCCTTCTCCAAAACTTTGAGCATGGAAAGAAAGAAAGACAGAAGGGAACCGCCCAGTTGACCAAGCGTCTTTAGCAAGGCATTGTAGCGACAGAGCTTCTCCGCGCATATCGCCAACCTGACCACGTCATGCAAATCAACAATTGTCGTCGCAAATCGCAAATCCAGCTTTGTCTGTAGAGCTGCTTTGCGCTTTGCATGGACAAGGTTGGAGGCCATCGCTAGTAGGTTGGAGGCCCTACAAGGTAATGGCTCCCATTTCGCATGAGTTGATGATAACCTACAATGATCCGGTGAAACGAAAACAGACAGGGTGGAACCCTACTACACGGAGGCTTTCTGGAGATGTGTTGACGGCCTCCATCAAACAGTTCGCATAGCTCGAATACACTCGTCAACCTCTGGTCCAATTTGCAACAACAAAGGCTTCTGGCAGCCATTTGATATCCCGTTGCATTTCAGACTAATATGGGTTTGAACAAAGTGGAGGTCAGATCGACCTCATTGAAGTCCCAAATACATGGTTGCTCCGAATCATATGTGTTCCGTGAAAGCAATACTTGGTTCATGCATCATCTTTATCAGGCAACAACGTGGAATTCTGAGCAAAGCAACACTTTTTCATCCGAGGTGAAATATGTATCAAGAAACAAGAAGCTACTAGGGTCTCCTGGCATCGCTACTAGGAGCAAGGACGCTACTAGAGGCTCCTGGCCGTACTACTAGGAACAAGAAGCTACTAGGGACCTGGTATCACTTAAGCTCCGTCCACAGAAAGAAGAGATGTTGCGCTGCCCATGCGAAGAGTGGAGCCTCTTCTGCAAGTTCCAGTGCCCGTTGAGAAGTTCTCAGTGACAGCCAACAAGCATCAGGCGGTGAAGAGACTCCCATAGTGCTACAGTGTATGCATTTGTTTTGCCAGAGATGTATATAAGGCAGAAACCTTCTCACCTGTCGGGTGACTGTTTGTTGGTTCAGAACAATTATATGCACTAAATACGGACGTGCAAATAATCTGGGCACAAAAAACACGCATAGGCCGTGCAAGAGTCATGCAAGCAAATTTTGCTGAGGCACTGAAGAGCTTCCTGGGTATCACATTTCGCCAGCAAAGCCTTGGCTGGAGGCTTTCCATCGACCGCTTCTTTATTATAAATGTTGATAGCCAATTGTGCCACAAGCAAACCAAACAAAAATACCCTCTTGGAGCCCCTACCTTTGCAACGACTAAATGCGCTGAAACCTCTTTCTCCGGTAGCTGGGACGCCTGTGCCAAAGCACAGCAAAGAACTCCGAATCCGCATGAAGTTGACACGACATGACCCTGAATGCATCGAAAAATGGTGAACGTGATGTTCAACATCAGCAAGGAATTTCGGAAAGGGTGAGAAACAAGCTCTCCCTGCACCTTGAACTCCTCCTGAGCTTCCATTGCCCAGCGAAGAGCTTCCTTCAGCGAGTCAAAGCAAAATCCTAGCAAGGCCTTGCTGCTGGGCTACCGGCTTTCATTACAGAATATTCTTTGTACACGTAAAGCGTGCTTGGGATCTGAGCTGAACTAGCTAAAAACCAATACAGCACAGGTCCATTAGCCATCGATGTTGAGAAGACGACCGTGTCCAGATTCGTCGAATGTTCCTGATTGTTATTTGTTTGCGCTTGTTTGGCTTCAACCCTGCACCTGCAGGCGATTCTTGTCCAAATAGACCGCTGCCTGCGCCAGCTTCATGGTCGCCTCAGCAAAGAAACGAAACTTATCCAAACTTGAAATTTCTGTTGAAGCAGCTGAGAGATGGAAACCGTTGGTTTCACCTCCCCCCCCCCACCTCTCCACAACGGTCGCCGCACTTCCGGTAATTCTCCATCTCACGTTGAGCATTGGCCAAGGCCTTCTCCTGGCTTTGAGTATCCCAAGCAAAAGACCTACCGAGCAAAAAATGCCGGGGCGACGGAGTCCGACGGAGCAATGAAATGAAGGACATGGACTCAGGACTGCATGGATGCTGTTTGATAATTGTCCCAGGCTGTTGGCTCTGGTCCTTGTCTGTAAACTTGTAAACATTTGTAGACCTTATCGTCCTCGTCGTTGTATGCAAGTAATTGCTGAGGACAAAACTGCAAATGGGTCAAGTTACAATGCTCCGAAAGACTCTCCACAAGCATTCTCACACCATGACTTGTAGATCTCTGTCCTCGCCCTCCTTAACAGATATCGCTGCAATGACCGCCTAGATCACATGCGCTCTCTGTCAAAGACTCCGTTCACTGGCCAAGCAACCAAAGAGCCCAGTAAAAGGCAAAGCAAGAGTTCTGGACCAGGGACAAGTGCTGAATCGCACATATATGTGTCCAAAGTCCAAAGTCACTTTGAACCAATAGGGCCTGTAGTATGTTAAAGGCCTTGTCAAAAATGGCTCGTAGTCTAGTCTTGTGTGCTCTGTCTTTACCTCGACTGAGTCTTTCAATTGTCAACAGGAAGGAGGGTTATCCTGCCGTTGCCATGTGCACAGCAGGGGTTGCATGGAAGTTCCTATCAAAAGTAGATTGCCATTCCCTTTTGACCTTAACCACCACTAAGAAAATGCTTAAAACATGGCACACACCCTACCTTCAAAGCATCTGCTGCGCTCTGCTGATCTCCTAGCTCCTTGTAGATCAGCATTGCCTTTGTAGAAGCGAGTTTTGAAACCTTTTGGAACTGAAATTCTGCCGAATTCAACTGTTGCACAAAAAAGTGAAATGCTGATGAATTGAGAGTTGTATGAACATGTATGAACTGAAAAAAGTAGCTTTACTCGCCGCACCACCGCACCTTGGTTGCTGCACTAAGAACCTGGTAGCCAGGGTCAGTGAGTCAAAGGTTTGCGGCCACGCAGATGATGATTCAACATGTGGATCATGTGTCAAACACTGAGAGCCTCTTGGCATGTCTCGGAGGTCAGGCTTTCCTGGCAGCATGGATGGCACTTGTGGAGTTTCTTCTCAAAGGCAGGGCTACAACACGGTGAACTGTTTCATGTACATATGGTATATGTGTCTGTGTGACCATGTGTGATCTGCGTCTGGATCAGGAGTCTAGAGTCAGTGCGATGCATCAGGAGTGAGCACGATGTCGAAACAGAAAGACTGGCAGACTGGCCTTCCGGAAGGCTTTGACTCTTGATTCTTTAGGCTGATCAGACTGATGTTTCAAGCTCTATCAGCCTACCACGCAGACTATGTCCAGTCCAGTCTTAGGCTACCACCACACATCTGCCGAAGCTATGCTGGTGAAAAAGTATACCATCCGTGCTGATTCATCCGCAGGTTCGCTTAAAGACCTTCCGTAGCTCACGTTCAGCGAGCGACAGTCTAGCCATCCGAATGTCGTGAAGCCCACCCACCTCCGCGTAGCGCAACTGAAGCAGAGCATCTCGGCGCTTCTCCTTTTCATCGGGTCAATGAGGCGCATCAAGTCGACCCATATTTGGGGGCCTTTTGCTTTTCTATCTATTTGGGGATATACTTCGACGAAAGTTCTGGTCTCGGTGTGTCTTTATTCACACACAGCCGAGCGTCGAAGGGATGATACCTCAGTGGTGCGTGTTAAAGCATGGCTGAGATCGGACAAAGGTGTCTTTGTACTGTAAAATCTGTTGTCAGTACGGAATGATGTCCAAGACTGGACCACACAACAGACATCTCATTTCCCGCTTTGGTGAGCAACTCTTCGAATTCCCTAAACATCCCTGTGGAGCCGCACAAAGCACCGGACAAAAATAGCCAAGCTGTCCAGAACTGCGCCAGTTAGGTGTCTATATGGTATGCAAAGCATTTCTTTGCGTTGCGTCTACTAGATATCATTCCTTCCGAATGTCCTTTTCGTCTTTTTCTCATCCCTTTATAAACATCCTGATCAGGTTTGACTTATGCCAATTTCATTTATGGTGGGTCCACAATAATGCAACTTCCAACAGTAGAGTTTGCGTTTTATGTCAGTTGGTGAAATGCGTTTGCCAAACCGTGCGCCAAATGGCATGGTGGCCGAATGCTCCTGCTCTTCCGAGTTCAACACTCCCATGGCAAAGTGCGTTCGACAAAAAGCTGTTGGAGCTGAACGTCCGAAAATGCCCAAATGCCCAGGCTGTTCGGCTACTCAGCATCGACATGCCAAACACTACTACTCATAACGATCTGGTTCACAGGAGCTGGGTTGGGCGTCCATGTTCTCATGATGCGGTGCAAAGCCTTTCTGGGCACTTCTGAAGGCACTTCATGGCTAGTGACTATAGAGGGCAACTAGGTGTAGCTTCAATTCGACCTTTTCGTTCGGTGCCATGCTTGCCGCAAAAACTGAGCCAGGAGGCTGGTCAACAAGAACAACATGTACAGTAATGCATTGTAATACGGGAGAGATTCGGCAAATCGCAAATCTCAAGGTGCTCCACTAATCAACTACAACAGAATCCAAAGTGGTTTAATTTTGCAATTCAGAGGTTACTGTTCAGTTCTTGTATTTTTGGACTGGCGTTCCGGAGCAGTGCTACAATGCTTAGAGGCATCCACTGAACGATAAATCAACCAAGCTATTGTCCAGGCATTGAAGCATCAAACTTTATCAGATATTAATGTTAAAAGTGGGAGTGTGAAAGCCAAAGACTAGTCGACTATAAATATAAAGCTAAGATGCCCTCAGACATTGAATGGAGGGTGGTCTAACCTTTGATATCTTCATCACAGAAGAATGCCATGCGATCGTGTGGCCTCTGCGATCTTGCTGTCAATCTCAACATGCTGATGTCCTGTGACCTGTACGCGCATGGGGAAGGGTTCGGCAGTGTCCATGGGGAATTCAAGTTGCCATGCAGAATATCATTGCAGTCTATGCGCCAGTGACATCTTGAGTGCCAGCAATGTTGATGTCAAGGTTGAGGTTCCTTGTCTTCCGGCAAAGGTATGCAAAAACAATGCGCGGCCTGGAGATTGATTGCGGTGATACACAACTCATTTTTTTCTCACGACAACCCGTATGCCCGACCTTGTAGGGTTTGGCACCTGTGTCGGTGAATTCCAAATTCAAGACCTGGGGCAGGCGTCCACCATGCAAAGGGTTGTCAAACCAAAATCAGTGCCAAAGTCGCAACACCTGTATGTCTAAACAAAGGGCAGGTCCTCAACTCCCCATTACCCCTGCCTTCCAAACCGTCTTCTTGGGTGTGTAGTTTCTTTCAAGCGGAGCAGGGACGTTCTCAGTTCAGGTTCTGGAAAGTTGTATTTTGGAAAAAGGCGGGTTTCGTTTCAGAAGATCCTTCCAAGAGGGTTCGTGAATTAACCCAACCAGCTTAAGCATGCTTATAAAAACCAGTTGTAGGGGGCACCATGGTTTCCCTGCTTTGCCTTGCTTAACAGGGTAGCTTGGTCAGCCTCAGGCTCAGCTCCGCTAAAGCTTTGCTGTGAGGCTAAGGTCCGTGCTGTGATGTCTCGAAAGTCAGTGCCACTTTTGAGGACCTCAACGCCACCGGTCACGTCACATTGTCTCACTGTCTCACATTGTCTCATTTCTGCATTCGTCCACGTTGTCTCACTTCCGTGCCACCCATAAAAGAGGATAATATATGTGTTTCATTGTTTTTCCTTGTTGGCGCCGGTGCCAGTGCCAGTTGCCGGTGCCGGTGACCGCTGTCAATTCCCCTTTGGTGTCCGCTACCGTTTGCCGGTGCCGGTGGCTGGTACCGGGGCCCATGGCATCCCATGGCCAGTGGCAAATTATCTTTGGTGTCCGCTACCACTTTGCCGGTGCCGGTGGCTGGTACCGGGGTCCATGGCCAGTGGCAAATTATCTTTGGTGTCCGCTACCGCTTTGCCGGTGCGGTGGCCAGTGGGGGGACCGGGGGTGCCGGTGCCGGGGCTGGTGAGCCAGAACCGGTGGCTGGTGCGCCGGTGACAGTGGCCGCTATAGCATTTCCCGTTTTGCCGACCGCGGGCACGCCATGATAGAAACCGAAGACGAAGCCAGGAAGGTTAAGCCCTGACACGACATTCCTGCCCTGTCGTAACCGCTGGTGCGACTAGCATCTTTGGGTCGGACCGCTGTGGTTACGGGGCCTGCCTTGGCACAAAGTGCACAGAGCAGTGTATTCGTGTCACGACGGTGGCAAGGCTAGCCGGCTAACCATTGGTGAGCAGGAGGGCACGCCTGTAGGCATAAGGGAAAAGAGTTTTCAGCTTGCGGTGGACACACCGACATCACCGACACGACCTTCTTGCCCTGCGTGAAGGAATGATGTAGGACGCCGTAATTCGAGCCTGTGTAGCCGCTCCTCTACGCCCTGTACATATCTGTCTAGCAATCTCATCTTTCTGTCTGCCTGCCTGCCGGCCGGCCGGCCTGCCTGCCTGCCTGCCTGCCCGTCCGTCTTTCTGTCTATCTATTTATCTATCTGTCAATCTATCCGTCTATGGATCGAAATCTATCTGTCTAATTATCTGTCTGTTTATCTATCTATCTAAATAGGATCTAATCTACATAACCTAATCTAATCTATCTACCTGTTTCTTTCTCTCTTGCGTTCTTTTTTTCGTTATTTCTTTCTTTCTTTCTTTCCTTTCCTTTCCTTTCCTTTCCTTTCCTTTCTTTCTTTCTTTCTTGCTTGCTTGCTTGCTTCCTTCCTTCTTTCCTTCCTTTTCCTTCCTCTTCCTTCCTCTTCCTTCCTCTTCCTTCCTCTTCCTTC